TTTTTTGGAAGGTCAACTTCTGTTTGCTGTTAAAAGCAGGATTACTATTGTAGGGCTTCGTTTATGCATTTTCATCTTCTAAGAGAGTACAGCTTCTTGTGACTTCAGAGTTGAAGAAGGAATTGTGTTAGAAGACTTAAAGCTGGAAAAGTCATGCTCTCTATAGGCTGCAACTGTTAGAATGAGGTTATCCTTTGCAGGCAGTCTCATTACTCTGGGCCAAATTCAGACATACTCTAACCTGTTTAAATTTGCTGATAGTCAAGAAAATACTCTTTAATTTTATACAGGAGTGGATACATATTTATATGAACTAAGGGTTCAGCCCATCCTGCTTTCTCATGTGTGTATAATCTGAGCATATGCTTCTAGACTATTGCTCTTGAATTAGAAATTCAGGCATGGGTAATTTTAGGTTGTTCTTTCTTGTGCTTAGTTTTAAAGAAATGGAAGTTCTTTTTGCTTAAGCACTATGTTGTGGTGTGGAGATAGGAACTGAAATTACAGGATCTAGAACAAACTTTCAGGTGACACTAATGTAAGGATTATTTGCTGTTAAAGGGTGTCTTCTTGTCTTTCAGTCTGGCTGCTTAGTTATTGTATGAAGATAAGAATTTGGAGTACAGAATATATTTATTTTACACTGGTACCGTGTGTGGTATGTTCTGTTGTGCAGTTACGGAGACTGCATTCTGACTACTTTTTATTGTCACTGTATATATATTTTGTCAATAATACAGGAACTGTTTCTGTTTAAGCAATATGTATATTTATATATCTTGAATGTAGAGCACAGCATGACTTGCCTTTTGCCCATTTTCATTCTTTGAATTTTTTCTGAGGAAGCAAAATATAAATACACAATAGCCTGGTATGCAAAGGGAAGGATACTAGCAAAGTGGAAGGAAAGACATTCAGAAACATGCCTTCCTTTAGTAGAAAGCCATTCTTCCCAGTATTGTGCTAGATAACCTTCCTCTGAACAAAGCCACTTCCATAGTATTTGTAATTCTTGCATGTAAATTGTAACTTCTCGCAGTATTCTTTAAAAGACATTTTAAACATTATCTGCTGTATTGTGACATTTAATGTTCTGTGTGGTCATGTGGAAAGCCTGTGATAAAGCGAGGAATGAGTGAAGCAAGCCACCTGACTCCAGTCCTCCTTCTGTCCCCCATTACTTGCTTTATTTTGCCAGCATACCATTACTGATTATGAACATTATAATCTCATCAGGTTGCAGCTGCATTATTACAGTTCGATATGCTCTTTCCTATCCTTCTTTAAGGTCACTAAAATGAGATACTTAAAAGGCACTGTCTTGTTTGAAGTATTGAGATCTTAAAATTTTTGCTGTTTTTTTTCTTATGTGCCAAGCCAGCCTCAGCTCTTGAATATGCAGCATTTCCATATCTTCCTGCAGCTCCCCAGCTGAAGTCCATGTTTTGCTAGATTATTACTGAATTTATTATCCAGAAAGGGTAATTCCTCAGCTCCTGCTTTCCTGTTTTGGTCTAGTGTGTATACAATGAGGCCCTAAGATGTATCAAGTCTACATGCCTTTCTTCTATCCTCATTATAGATCCTAATGTATGTAAATCCATTGCAAGCCATTTAAGTGATAGACTTACATGGTCATCCGCATGAATGAAGAAATTACACGTGATGTATAGATAGCTGTCAGTTCTGCAAGTGTTGAAAACCTTTCTTCTCCTGTGTTTAGTCTGTTAATTTTGTGTTAATTGAATTCCTGTCTTATTCTAGTCCTGTCAGCTGGGTCAAGAACTTTGCTTTCTCTGTGTTGGAGTCAGCTTATACTGAATTTAAGAAGTAACTTCTAACTGGTCCTTATATAGCAGAGACTGTGAGGACAAGCAGTCAAATTCTTGATTAGCTGTTCTGCCAGAGAAGAATGAGTCAAAACTATGGATGTCTTCCCAGGCAAGAATTCAGTGATGTTCCAGAGAGCTTTTTTTAAAGCTGTTTTCCCTGTTAGCGATAAGTAAAACACCTTTTAAGCAGACAGAATACCCCTCTTAAAATGAAATATGATGCTTCAGGGTGGTGGTAAAAGAACATACTATTTCTGGTTCAAGTTGCATGTAAAAGATCATGGCTGTTAAAGCTCTTTTGTTAGTAGAATGAATCAGTATTGACTGCCTGGGTTCTGTTGCGGGTCATTAACTTGTCAGTTAATTGGAAAGCTTGTGAAGGGCTTCTCCGTGATGGTGTTTTGTGGTAGAAGAAAACAACCTGAGAATAAGCTTAGTTAAAAGGTGGTTATAGCCGGTAACTATGGTTGGTTTTGATTGCTTTGTGCAAATTGTATGATGGGCTAATCTGTAAAAGGAGAGGGGATTTCTACAGTATCACTCCGAAGGCAAACAAGGATTCAAAACAGGATCCTACTGTGGAGCTCATATCATAAATAATGCAAATACGCTTGTAAGAGCCTGCATGAATGCTTCAACTGTAACAAAGGATTCTTCAGATTCAAGGCTGTGGTTAATGTAGCTATTTCTAGCTTGAGTCAAAATGATGATTTACTAATTATATTCTTTATTGATATGTGTCAGATTAATATAAAATTCTCTTAAAGCTCTAGTTCTGCTGTCATTGTAATGGCAGTGTGTGATTTCCTTATTTATTTTCAGTGGTTTGATAGATGCACATAAAAAAGTAATCTGGGTATAAAGAGTCTGTTTCTTTCCGCTCAGTACCTGGATGTGAAAATCCTCATGGGCTCGTGCATCCTTGTTAGCAATATAGACTTTACAACTGGGTCTTAGCTTGTAATGCTCTTTTGAATGTATGGTTTAAAACAAAGTTAAAAATTCATCTCTCTTCCTATTATCTTCATGAGTTCTGCAGAGGAGTGAAATGTTGTGTGAACTTGAGGGGACTTTCTGTGAGCAAAAGTAAGCAGATAAGAGGAAAGGCACATGGAAGACATTTGTTAAATAGGGTTGCCATCTTTATACTGTTGTTCTTCTGGCTATAACTGCACTTTACATTTTATTATGGCCTGGGTCTCTAGAGTTGAATTTTACAAGGCATTTTCAGAACAATTGGGTCAGTCACCCATTATTCATACAATTACACACTGCAGCCTTGCTGCTCCTTGTTGACATCTGTGCACAAAGCCCAGCTCTTTTTTACATAACTTGACCAGCTCAGACACTGATTGTGGAAGATACTGAGAGCTCCAGAGAAATGGCTGAGTAGTTCATTCCCTCTAGCATGCCCAGAGGCAAGCAGGAAGTTGACAATGGCATCATTACACGTGTGGTATTTTGTGGTTTGCCTATATATTGCTATAGAAAGAAACTGGAGACTGCTATGTGGGAAATGTTGTTAAACCACTTTTACATAGCTACCTAGCTGCATTTCTGTTTGTTGCCTTACACAGGCATTGACTTATACTGTTACCAGCTATTTCTGAGGGGGCTGCCTCATCTGGAGCTGGAGGGACCCCTGCATGCTGTGGTGGTAATGAGGTGACTGGCCTTGCTGGCTGTATATTGAAAAGGTGTGTGCTACACGAAGCAGGGTATTAGGGAAAGTGATGCAAATAGCTGTCTTATTAATGGGGTTAAATGATACACTAGATAGCTGATTTCTGCCTCTGAGGCTGTCTCCCGTGTGCCAGCCTTTCTGTAGGTGGTCAGTAACTGAGCACAAGTCCAGTGTCGTGTGCTTGGCTTTCAGACTTAACACAAACTGACTCTTTAAACAAGACTCGGTATGTCCTATGCTTGGAAAATATGAAGGAGTAAGATTTCAAAAGAAAACTGAAATGCATAGAGGTAGGCAGTAGGGACAGTGTGCATGTCAAAATGGGCATTCAGTCTTAACTTTCTGAATAACAGTGACTTGTGTTTCTTTCACTTGTGAAATAAATACAATACTGCCTTTTCTTGAGGGAGTATCATTGGAGTAATGTTTGTGTGATGTTTCCAAAACGTTTGGATACTTCAGAAATAAATTAATAGTTCTTTCTTTGGCAAGAATATTAGCAGTAGACTCTGAAAGAAGCACAATTTTTATAACACAGCTAAAAAGAAGAATTGTAATGCTGCTGTGGGGAGTGCTGTCATGTACATTGAATTGAGGTGTCTGACAAAACCAAATAGTGTGTGATAAAGTAATTGAATGCTGTATGAAAGACTCTGCCTGCTGAGTAGGAGGGAGGGAAGTATTAAAGTTGAAAAAGTAATCTCTATACTAACTCCTCATGTTTGACTTGGCTTGGATTAATTTTTTTTTCAAGTTAAAAATGTAACTTGTCAATTTACTTACAAGCACCAAAGGTGAATATTTATGTTAGGCTCGGTAATATCAAAGTAATAAACCTATTTGGTTTTATATGTGAAAAAAAACTTTGAATTTCTTCGTAGAAGCATGAACAATGCCTCAATTTCTGCTCACTGTTGTATCAATTTGATACAAATATTTTGTAGGTTTTTATGAAATTAAACCGAGTAATGATATTTCATATAAAATCACTGTTAGAACAAATGACTGTAGTTGAACTTTTCCTAGCAGAGCTGGAAACTGGGTTATAAGAGAACGATTAGCTGCAAACTTCTTATGTCAGAAATGCCTTTATATTAGGTGTTTGGATGGTAGCCTAGCAAAGCATCAGTCCTGGACACTGCTGGGAACTTCTAAGATACTGGGGTTACACAAGAAATCATAATTGTGATTCAAATGAGAAGTAAAATGCATATGTACACTCAATAAGGAACTGTAAAGCTAGTGTATGAACTGTTTTGCAAATGAACAGAATTAAGTGGGTAGAAATTGGGTGGACAAAATTTTGGTTAGTCACTAGCAACACTAAAACCAAATGTACAGATTTTATCTTGGTATTGGCTCCTTTGTAGTAGTGAGAGTCATTTTAAAGCCTCTGTGCTTCCATATGAAAATGTGTCTTGTGTAGCAGACCGTGATCAGCAGAGAAAGTCAACTTCACTTTATTTTATTTTAATCCCTTCTAGCCTTCAGGAAAAAGAGCAGTCGTTCACCATGTCCATTAAAGAAACTACTGCCAAAGTAAGTACACATCAGTGTTCAGTTCTTCAAAACATTTTGCGAAGCAGATAATAGCTTGCATCTTAATAAATGGTCTGTGTTTTAGAAAGCTGGTTTTGTGGCACTTTTTCTAAACAGATTTCGCTTTAAATATTTTTAAACATACACTCCAAAAAACCCCCCAGCTTTTATATTTGGACAGGCCACAGAGATTACGTTTAAGAAGCAGATGGAGTAATTTGTTGTTTCTTGGTTTATGTTTGCTAGTCTCTATTTAGGAAAACTTAGGAAAAGAATCCTCAGCTTCACGAAATGAAAGTGAACTCTGGTCACAACTTAATGCTTTCACTCTCCATATAGAGCCTCTTACTTTCCTAGCTGATTGGTTTCATTGGTGTAAAAGAAAAGCATAAATGAAGTACCTATCTTTCCCACCCACACTAATACTAAACTAGCAACCTCATCCTTATTCCCCTTTAAAAATATAAAGAAAAGTGATATAGAATATTTAGCATACCTTTTGTTTCTAACCAGAGATGTTAATACTTTAATTTCCTTATTTCTCATGGCCTCCTTCTGAGAAAGAGAATACTAAAATTTTATTTTAGCAAGCCACAGAACATCTTCGCTTCAAGAGAGCTCTAGAAAAAAAGGTCTGTTTATTGTAGCTGACCCATACTGGTCTATATGGGACTGGGAGTGGAAAATATTCCTGGCTTTTGATCAGGAATGAATTTATACTCTGAAATTATTTTTTTGTCTTCTTTCTCTAGTAGCACACATCAAAATTAGTAAAAAATTTATCCTTTATAATCTATCCTTTCTAATCATCTCATCCAATGCTTTTGGCATGCACTGTTCAAAAGACTATTTGAAGACTGCATCTCAGTATCCCTCCCTCCCTTCCTACATAATGTTGAGCTTATTCTCTTCTATTCCTTGCTTTATGCACACATCTTGGGGAAAAAAAATTACTATACACCATTATGACATGATGTTTTCCCTATTTTTAAAATTATTATGAATAAGGTATCAAGGAAAAGATTGCAATTGACCTACAGCTCATCTATAAAATGAATGATATATTCAGGGCCTTAGTAATATGTTATTTCAAGCCATCTGCAAGCTAAACCAGATTTCACCTTCTACCCTGAAAATGTGTGTCTCGAAGTTTTGTTTTACAGCTGTAGTATCTAGAGACTTTTTCAATAAGAACTGAAACAATCGGATAACAATTGAAGTCTGCAAGGTAGAATTCCACAGCCTGTTTGTTCCTTTAAATATTCAAGAGATAAAATATTATTTTAATTTCATTCCATTCCTGTGTGATGTCTTTTATTTATTAGAGAAGATAAATAGAAAGAACGTAATGAGACTCCTCCAAGTCATTTATTGGTTTATTTATTCAGATTGTCTCATCCTATTAATTTTTTTTCTCAAGCTGAATAGAGCTGATCTTTTAAACCTTTTCATTGTATGGGAAAAACATTGCTTTGTCAAAGGTCTTTTTGTTCCCCTGTGCCACTGATATTTCTATGGCCTTTTCTGCCTTACCTGCATTGTTTTCAGCTGAGGCTGCAAAAGCTAAAATTTGCCTGCTAATGAAGGGAACAATCCCCCTTATCCACCACCACCCTTCAGAAATTAGTATCTGCTTTTGCTAATGGCAAGATTGTGCTGTTATGGGAGATCCAGGTGGATTGTTGTCTTTAGGCAGTGTAAAGTGATTTTCTCTTTCTTTCTAAGGTGCTGTTGTAAAGAAATGTGAAGGTTATTAAAAAATTATTGTTATTATCACTTTTTCCTTGAAATGGTTGGAAGAGTAAATTTCAGCACTTTAGTCAGTGTCCTTGTCCCTGTTTCTGCTGCCTTAGATTAAAATCGTATGCTGGAAAGATGGAAGAGGGTGGCAATAGGCAAATTTTCTTTTGACATTTTACTGCTTTTCATCTTGATTCCACGTATCTTTGCTAAACAGCGTCCTACCGGTTTCAGATAGACTGCTTTTTTGAGTAGCATTTATGTGTCTGAACACAACTCGTAAGATATATTCCTGAACAAGAGCCTGTTGTTTATGGTTTGTGTGTGTTTTTTTGGTTTTGTGTGGGGTTGTTTTTTGTTTGGTGGGTTTTTTTCCTTTTTTTTTGTTTGTTTTTTTATAATCTTCTTTAAAAACCCCCTCAAACCACCAAAGAAAGTAATATTTGCCTGTAAAGAACTTCCCTGAAACTGAGATTTTTTTTTTTAGACCTGGAGCTCATTGGACCATGGGCTACAGCAGAGCTGGTCACTCACACCAGGGAAAGAGCATTGCCTGGGGGCACAGGTGCTTGCAGTCATACTGGTTAGAGGAGAATGGGAGGAATAGAGAAAGCTGGCTTTGTGAATATTCATTTTTGTCAGCTAATAAATAACCTTTCCTTAGTGTCTGAATAAGCTACTGTAATGAATAATTGTAGCTGTTATTAAGATAAAATAATTAGAAAAAAATGAAAAGAATTGGAGCATGTAGAGTAGAACTGATCTAATGTCCGAGCAGCACTATTGGAGGATGTTACATTATTTTGCCTCTCCTAGTTGCTCATTTAGTTTTGTTGAACTGTGCCATATGATAGCTCTGAAGATTAATGTTGTTCATTTATTTACAGAATACACGTGACATAGATACAAGCAGAGGCTTGGTAATGTACTTATCTCATGTTCCAGAAGAATCATCTCTGTGATTTAAGAGGAGCAGCCTCTGGTTCCTGCATTTTGCTCATTAATAAAGAGCGCCAGTGAGCTTTGTTCTGATGGTAGTGCTTACAAAAGTGGACAGTTTTCACTGGAAACTGATTAAACCTCCCAGCTTATTTTGCATAATTGCCAAACAGCTGTCTAGTGGTAATGACTTTAAGTTACTACCAGTGTGGGATATATTAATGCAGTTTTCCTGGAGCTGAAAGGTTCCCTATCTAATTGCAGTTCACTGAGCCATTCAGTACCCCTAAAGAGAGAGAACTGCTTAGAACAAAGTAATTAAAAACTTTCAGATTTATTCTGGAGATTACTATGACTAGAGTGTTGTAAGGGAATGATACAGGCAGGGGAGACAAAGAGAGGGTGTTGCCCTCTGTGTTGACCAGCTGGTGTGCTCTGCGTGGAAATGGATGAAGGATCAATCAAGAGCTTAAGAGTCAGGATTTAAAGGCAAGGCAGGGCCAGTGAGAATGGATTGAGATCAGCCTTCAGGAGAAGGACTTGGAGGTGTTATTTTGATGAGAAGCTCAACACGACCCAGCAATATGTGCTTGCAGCACAGAAAGCCAACTGTGTCCTGGCCTGCATCAAAAGAAGTATGATAGTTCTGTTGACTCAAGGAAAAGGTTAACAGATGCTGTCAGCTGAAGTAACAGGGGGATATTCATCCATTTAAAAGGATTTAGTTAAGTGTCATATCTGAATTATTATAATTGTATAAGCAATTAGAGCTGTTAGAAAGTGAAGTGGTAACTGTGCTTCTGTTCACAGCATGGTGTATGCATTTATTTTTGTGGCCAAAGAAGACAAGTAGGAAACGGAAACTTTCCTCTGTAGATTGCATTTCACATCTCTTCTCTTCATAACTGGCTGGTGCCTATCTTCATTATTGCTTTACTCTTGGTTCCAATGAATACAATGCTGTCTTAAGTGTCAGCTACAGTTTTAAGCAAGTGTTTGATGCCTGCCTTCAGAACAAGGGATTTACCTTAGCTTGTTGAGGGATTTTCCTGTTCATTTTGCTTTCCTTCACAAATGATGCAATATGGAGGGAACACTAACATTTTTGAGTATGTAGGAGTTGTATGAATTTTGTATGCTGTGTAAAGTCCTGCAGGGGTAATGTACTCTTAAATGGGAAGTACAGAAACAGTGTAACTTCCTTTTTTATTTTTCCTTCTATCTCTCGATGTTTTTAATACCAGTCTTGATTCATTGCTGAAAAAAACTTCCAGTTAAAAAGGTAAAAAAAGAGAGAGCAAGAAAGTCATAAACCTGAGCCCCAGTCAGCTGAGTCTCCTGATTGTGAAACAAAGTATAGTATTGACCTGGTTTATCTTTATTCATTGTCTGTGTAGAGAATTAATTCTGGCTGTTCTGCCTGTTTTCAGTTAAGATGAGCAGCACTCTATGTTTTTTATAGGAATTGCTGTACATTCTGTGCTGTGGCATCTTAAACTCTAAATGCTGGCTTATTTACACTCCGCTCCAGACATCACTCTTGATGCTGAAATTGCACAGAATTTGTAAGATGGCCTTTCTTCTATGTGCAGTCTCAGTATCTAGTAATGATACATGTCCTTTCTCATGCAGGTAGCTAATACTAGTACTTTTCTCTATTTTTGTGATAGAATGTGTGACAAAGCCTGGAAATTTTGATTCATGTTGGGTATTTCTGTAAAAACATCACTTTTATTAAGCTTCTCTACTTTGCCATACGATGTTATGTCGTGTCTGTAAACCAAGAACATTTGAAGTCCTATTTAAATTGCCTTATATTTTACAGTGAATAAATTGTTTATCATGGCTGTCTGCCTTGATCTAGGTGTGCACGAGTCAGAAACTCTGCAGTACTTTGAGGAGGAAAGTGAGTGATATTGAGACTCAGCTACCAGCTCTACTTGAAGCAAAAATGCTGGCTGTTTCAGGTAAGGTTTAAGTAATGAAAAGGACTAACATTGATGCGCAATGTGTTAGAGCACTTGCTGAGCTTTTAATATCTGAGACTTCCTAGGGAAGTTGATGTTCTCATATGTAGATCCCTTGAAGTTATGGCAAGTCCAGATAACCAGGATGTGTCCTGTGTTGTGTAAGGTATTTCAGGCCCCTCTATGTGGTTGGGAAATACTGGTAAAGAGGATGCTGTGTGGTAGGTATTGAACATGCAAAGAACATGTTTTTCCATAGGTGAAATTGGTAAGTGATTATCAATAGCTTTTCCTGGACCTTACAAGTTATATGCCTATATAACCTACATACTAGCTAAGAGCATATTTACAAGAAAGGCATAGTAATTCCAATTGTGGCTTTAAACGACACTTTTAAATGGAATACAATAATTGGCAGCTTCTGCTGTTCAGATCATTAAACAACTAATGTTGGCAGCGAAAGAGCTATTTGGTCCGTGGAGCACTTGTGCCTGTTATTTACAACCAGTAAAACACTGAAATGTGATTAGAGAGCCTGATACGTAACAGCTTTACATACCATTTATTTGGGATTACTGCACTGTTTTCCAACAAAAGAAGGCAAAGCACAGTTCTGTCTCTTAAATTTGAAGAGGTGGGTTTTCTATTCTGTTTCAATTCAGCATATTGTTTGCAGTTGTGTAAGTAGGTGTCTCTGCTAGACACCTGCCTCAGAGGAAGCTGAGTAGGGGGGAAGGTAGACCTGAGTACAAGGAATTTTCCAGTGTTACACCAAGTGAAGAAAGGCTAGAGGGTTTTAATACATGTGGAGGTGACAAACTGTAGCTATGTGTTGGTGATTTACCTTCTCAATTAGATACAAGAATCTAGCACTGGCACGCACGGATTTTTTAAAGATGAAACCTTGTGCAGTGTTACCTGGCTTGTTTGCCAGAAGTGGATAACATCAGGCTTGAGCAAAGTCCTAAAAGAGATGAAGAACCAGCTCTTGTATTGGTGCTGAGCATGTTCATTTTCCTTGTTTCTAATAACAACTTTCCGAAATAGAAACTCTATTTCTCTGTGTCCAACTTTGAGAGGTGAGCTGAACAATCATCCTTCTCTGCCTGTGGGCTGTTTGAATGTAGGTAATTTTCTTGCTTTCAGAAACAGGGTCAAAGTTTTCCCCAACCATTTTATGACTTTCTTGAGAACAAAATATCCCATAGACTGGACGTGCAACTGCTTCATGCTGCCAGCAGGAAGCAGTTGGCCAGAAAATATGTACCCCAGTCAGAAGCTTTGGCAGAGTAAATGACAACTTGAGGATGATTTTCAAAACATTCATAATTCTTTTATACTTTTTAGATGTTAAAAGAGGTTTCTTATTTCAGGGATGAATTCAGAAGACAATTTAATGCTGATGTTTCTGTAAACTGTTTGCACAGCACTGGGACTATGATTGCCTTTCTATGCATTTTTAAGAAGTGTCAGTGCTATTTCTTAGTACTGATGGTAAGCATTGTTCCTTTGTCTTTTTTTTTTCTCTTTTTTTTTTTTAATTCTTACCCTGAAAAACTGATACATCAGGGAATTTTAATGACTGTGGTACAATCCTGAGTTGTTATAAGGCAAAATTCTGGAGGGAACTGGCTAAGAATCATGGACAAAAGGTAATTTGGTGACAGTGGGTACTGTAATTCCTTTCTCTTGCCATAAGATATGGATGCATTTATTTGATGTGATGGCTCTTGTTTATGTTACATGAAGAATAGTGTGCAGAGGACATGGGAGAAATATGGGAATAAAAAATATTAGCTCTCTGAAGACCTGAAAGGAAAATAAATAAAAAAAAAAAAAAAATTGGGGGGGTTGGGGTAGGGAAGAAGGGAAATATTTTAGTCTTAAAGCATGAAATGATAAAATCAGAAATTCAGGGTGCAGAATTAATTGCAGTGTGCAGAGAAGCAAGTCGGGAAGAAAAGATTTTATAAATGCAGAAGAGGAAAGAGGAAGAAAGAGATAAAAATAGCCTCTTTTTTCTTTTTTTTTAAACTTAAGGCAAAACAGTGAGCAGTGGATAATATAGAGAAAGCTGAATTATTCAGTTTCTGTATATTCCTGTATTAGGTATAAATGAATGACATTTCTTAAATAAGGCATCGTTAAGAAGTAGACCTTAACCTTCTAAGAACTGGTTAAGTTTTAAACAAGGTACTTTACCTATGTATACCCTGAACTGTCAGGCAGCTAACAGACTGTTAATGAACACCTTGAGTATATTAAATCATTATAAGGTGGGAGAATCATCAATTGGGTAATACACAATTATTTAGGGACAGTTTTGGAATAGCATGAAATTCAGAGGGAATTCTAGTGTATATATTAAATATACAGTAATAATAACGTTTGGTCATAGAGGTTTTAATTTAGTCTGGAAGCATGAGGAAGGGATAAATGTCATTTCTGCTTTTATATCTAGCAGTTAGATCATTCATTCTAACAATTACCTCAGACAACAGTACTGATGGATACTGAGATCAACTCTAAACAGCTCTTGCATCACTTTTCTTTAACATAGCATTTTTCTTGAGGAAGCAGTTAGAATTAAGTGACTTTGGAACAGTGTCAAAGCAAAAAGGTAACTGAATGCAGTTGCACACATCTGTATTAGTGTATCCTAAGAGTTAAGTTAGATATAAGGATGCTGGGGAGGGCCTTTTCATTAGGGGCTGTAGTGATAGGACAAGGGGTAACAGGTTAAAACATAAACAAGGGAAGTTTAGATTATAAGGAAGAAATTCTTTACTGTTAGGGTGGTGAGGCACTGGAATGGGTTGCCCAGGGAGGCTGTGAATGCTCCATCCCTGGCAGTGTTCAAGGCCAGGCTGGACAAGTCCTTGGGTGACATGGTTTAGTGTGAGGTGTCCCTGCCCATGGCAGGGGGGTTGGAACTTGATGATCTTAAGGTCCTTTCCAACCCTAACTATTCTATGATTCTATGAGCTTAAGAATATAGTTGTTAAATGATATATGCGTACTCAGAGCTTACATGCAATGACTTAATGATGTGATGACTTGGAAAGCATGATTAATATAACTCATCCTCTAGTGGCTACCGTGATAGCTTCAGGGCAATGTTTATATTGTACTGTACTTCCTATACCAAACACACTGATTTACAGTACTGGTGTACTTGCACCAGAAAATTAAGAATATAACTGATTTTTTTTTTTTGTGAGGAAAATACTACAATTAATGCAATGAAACTATGACAGTTCTATTAGTTCTGTCAATACAGTACCTTTAATTTGAAGACTATAAGAATACTGTAAAGATATAAGAGATGATGCTACATATGTGAACGTCTCTTCTCCCTTTTATTTTGTCCTTGGAAGAAGCGTAAAGCTCAATTTGGAGAAGAAAGAAACTTAGTTTGTGAATCTTTTGATTACTGAAAGCCATTGAATAAATACAGTCATTAAATCACAGTGAGATTTTTGGGGGAAGGAGAAGCATCACGTACTCAAATGTTCAAGAAGTATTTTTGTCAACGGTTACAATTTGGGTCCTATATCAACAACTCCCTTACTTCTGCAGGCATTTGCCTGTTGTGATAAATAACTTTGTTAATACTCCTGAGATGCTAGTCCAGATATTTTTTTCAAGCATAATTAGTAGAATCTTATAATATTGTTCATGGTTTTTAAGTCTGTAGCTTCAGCTAATTATAGCTAACAAGTGCTCCTGATTGCCTGAGATGTTACTGTTGGCATACACATTTGTAAATACTTTTCAGTGAAATGTTATGGTTTAGCATCTAGTAGGGTTGTTTTTCATTGAAACAAAACACCTTAATGTCAGCGCTTAGAAATCTGTATGTGATTTTTGTAACAGTTGCTTCTTGCAGTAGCTGTTAATATGCTTATAAGAGTTCTGTCATTAGTTATGAGAAGAGCACAGCACATGATGCTCTTGTTCTTTGTTAGCATTGTGTGTCTATTGAGTGTGAAACGTTTGGGGGGGATAAATTGCAGATGAAATACTCCTAAACCAGTAAAAAAATTCAGATAGGATGGTATGCTAAAAGAGTGTGTATGTAACTGTAGAAATATTATTAAAATTTATTTACCTACTTTGGGCTGTTTTGGAGGAGAGCAAATTGTATATGAGAAATTATGTGTTTCTCATTTTTCCTTAGAAAATAATTTGGGAATAGGAGAGAGTTTGTAAGCTAAAATGAATTTTTAGTTGTAATTTCATGTTTCCTATATTTGAATAATAAAAGAGGTTGTTTGATACATTTTACAGTGTCTTCATTGATCTATGTGAAACTTTTTTTCGTCTTGAGAATGCGTAATAGCATTGGACTACATAGGCAGAAAGTAGCTAGCAGGGAGCTAAGCAGGCATAAATGAAATGCTGAGTTTGTTATGTAGTTATTTGAGATGCATGTCATTAACTTTCCTTATGTCTTTGCAAACACAAATTATATCCAAATACAGAAGTTACAATGAGGTGACTTGTAAGTAGTTAAAAAAAAGTTAAAATATTTTTGATCTTAAAACTGGGATTGTGTGTCATCATCCTATGATTAGCGCTATCTCTATTTCATTAAATACCTGCAAGGGGGATCTGCTTTGAAATGCTTTTGTGGGATGATTTTCAGTGGTACAACAAAAATGTTTTTTTCCTTGTGTTAGTGTAGAAGTATAGTTTATAACTAGTATGACATGAATACTAGATACCGTATTTCCACAAAACGCTAGAACTGTTGCTTCTTTGATGCTTGTTTAGGGCAAGTTCTGCATGTCTCAGCAAAACAACTGTAACAGAAAAGCCTCCAGCCTTATGAAGGCTTAATTTTTGATGAATTGGAGTCTGAGTTCTGTGTCTTGTCAGATGACATAGCTGATTCTGCACATGCAGATTCTTGCTTGTGGCAGTGGTGTGGGTTAATGGTTCAGAGTCATATTAAGATTAATTCTTCTTTATGCCTCTATTGCAGTGTCTGTCTCCAG